ACACAACTCAGGAACAAGAGTCAACCTGTCGCGAGAGCCACGTACCTGAGGTGAGACTGAAGTAGTGGGGAGGCCTCCCTTGCACCTCGGGTCCTTGAAGTCTCTGGAGATGGAGACAGAGACTTGGTGGACACCGAGTGGCACGGGTGCCAGGGGTGCGGAGCACCGCGCAAGCCTTAGTCCGAGATCCGAGCCGAGGTCACTTCCAATCTGGCAACGAAGTACACAAGGGTAAATCAGAAGAATGGACGAGATCCAAGCCGGGGTCGGTTCCAATCTGGCAGCTGAGTACAAAAGGGGCAAAGAATAAGAATGGTCAAGATACAAATCTGAGGTCAATGGCAGGCAGCAATCAAGAGTAGTCAAATAGGTTTCCAGGTCACAACAAGTTCAGACAGATCACACACTAGCACAGGAACAAGGGGAGACTGAAGATAATCCAGCAAGTTGGCAGTGTCTGAGCTGGGCTTATATAGGGAAGTAATGATTTAAGTTGTATGTCACTTCCTGTGCGCCTCCTGGGCGTTTTCCCGCCTTTTTACATCAGGTCTTCAGCACATGCGTGGGTTTGGCGCACTGACGCGTCTTTTTACGCTGATTTCTTCTTGCGGCAACATGCCATTGGCTCATGCACAGTAAGCCCTGGACTCTTACACAACCACTGACAAGTCAATTACACCAGGGCCAGCCAATAGTGTGTGAGGAGAAAGGACTTTTTTTTCTCTTGCCCCCTTTACATGTTGTCAGTATTTCTGTGTAAATTGAGAATGGCGGGTCGAAGGTTGAGAATACTACTCAGGAACAAGAGTCAACCACTGACACGTCAATGACACCGGGGCCAGTTAATAGTGTGTAAGGAGAAGGGTCTTATTTTGTATGACTAGGTTAGACGTTGACAGTTGTTCAGTGTAACATAAGCATGGGGGTCAAAGGGGGAGGATACAACTCAGGGACAAGAGTCAACCACTGACACGTCAATCACAACCGGGCCAGCCATTATTGTGTGAGGGGAAAGACATTTTTTTTAAATGCCTAGGTTACATGCTGTCAGTATTTCAGTGTAACATGAGCATGGGAGGGTCAAAGGGGAGAATACTACTCGGGAACAAGAGTCAACCACTGACAAGTCAATGACACCAGGGACAGCCAATATTGCGTAAGGAGAAGGAACCTTTTAATCTTTTGCCTAGGTTCCATGTCGTCAGTATTTCAGTGTAACATGAGCATGGGGGATCAAAGGGGGAGAATACTGCTCAGGAACAAGAGTCAACCACTGACAAGCAGGGTCGGATTTCCCACAAGGCCCACCAAGGCCCGGCCTTGGGGCAGCATGGAGTAGAGGGGCAGCAGGGGTGTGAAATTCCTATCTACCAATCCCCGGGACATGCAGTTCCAGTTTTCTACATTTAGCCCTGCTTTGGACGAGCAGAGCTAAATATAAAACGGTTTTCACTTGTATGCAGCTTGCAGGTCTGCCATTCTCCAGAGGGGGGGGGGTGCATTGAGGAACCTGGCCTTGGGGCAACCAGAGAGAGTAAATCCTGCCCTGCTAACAAGTCAATGGCACCGGGGACAGCCATTATTGCGTAAGGAGAAGGGACCTTTTATTCTTTTGCCTAGGTTCCATGTTGTCAGTATTTCAGTGTAACATGAGCATAGGGGGTCAAAGGAAATATGCAAAACTTTAATAATTCAGTAAGTACAATCCTATATTATTATGAGGTAAGGAGGCGTGCTGGCGCTTGTAGTTCAGTAGCTGGAGGGCCACAGAGCCATCTCTTCTGCATACGCGAGTCACTAATTATTCCTGAACTCCTGAAGTTCACAGGTTTTTTTTTTCTCAATATTTCACACTAAGCCCCCGGAGAGACATTTTATGCATTTTCTTCGATACATCAAATAGAAACGAGGAACTAATCTCATATAAATTGTAATCTGCTGATTCGGGATTAATAATTAATGGGCACAAAGAGAACAGAAAGACTTCTGGAGGAAAACTTTCTGGCCGGCCCCGGCTCTCACCGTTGTATTTAGAATAATTATGTAACCGCGCCGGGAGAGAATTCCTCTTTAGCCGGAGTCGTACCCTAATGGAATATAAATCTAAGATTATTATGGCCGAGTCGTTAAAATAATCTCAGAGGAATCCATTAAATTGCCGCCCCCTCCCCCCCTCCAACGTGTTACTTTGTGGTTTTCATTATTAAGATAATCATTCATACATCATTTTTAGTTTACAATGGACAATTAATCTATGGATACAATATATATATATATATAAGTACCTGGAGGAATTCCTTGCAGTAAATTGCTATAATTGTCTGCATATCAGATGAAATTTCAAATCAGCCTAACATGAAGCAGACACTGACCAGTGGGTTGAGTAATATTAGTAGATAGCCATCCTTACATTGGAAGAAGGAAATGTTATATGACGGATATATTTGGGTGGCATTTATTTGACCTATGTGTGTCACTAAGA